CTGCAGTGAGAGCTAGGCTACGATACTCTGCCTCAGCACTAGATCTTGCCACTACAGACTGCTTCTTGGACCACCAGGAAATGGGATTGGAACCAAGGAATAAGCAAGCACCTGATGTGGATCTTGTATCATCTGGATCAGCCCCCCAATCTGCATCACAGAACCCAACAAGAGAGAGAGGCTGGTGTGGTGAGGCTGGATGAAATAGAAGACCATGAGACAATGTTCCCTTGAGATAACGCAAAATCCTTTTGACAATCTTCCAATGTTCTTCCAATGGTTGGGACATAAACTGGCAAACTTTATTTACGGTAAAGGCAATTTCTGGCCTTGTTAAGGTAACATACTGCAAGGCACCAACTATTGATCTGTAGAGGAAGGGATCAGCAACATAATTCCCCCCATGCTTGCTTAGTTTGCAGCCACTAGGCATAGGAGTAGAGATACCTTTTGCATCTGACATTCCAGCTTTGCACAGTAAGTCTTTCACATATTTACCTTGAGATAACAGAAGTCTCCCATGAGAAAGAGGCTTAACTTCTATACCCAGAAAATAATCCAAGGTTCCTAACTGTTTTAGAGCAAAGTGAGAGTTCATTTGATCAGTGATCTGTTGAATTGGAGCTGAGTTGTTTCCAGTGATGATGATATCATCCACATAGACTAATACATATATGCAGCTCCCATTAGAGTGAAGAATGAATAAAGAGGGATCACACTTGCTAGAGTAAAAACCAAGTTGTCGAAGAGTAGTTCCAAACTTTTCAAACCATGCACGAGGGGCTTGTTTTAGCCCATAAAGAGCTTTGTGTAATCTGCATACCAGATTCTTATTCTCTGTTTCAAATCCAGGGGGTTGTGTCATGTAGACCTCTTCGACAAGCTCTCCATTAAGGAAAGCATTGTTGACATCGAGTTGTTTTAAGGGCCAGCCATAAGAGAGAGCTAGAGTGAGAATAATTCTGATTGTGGTGGGTTTAACAACTGGTGAGAAAGTCTCATTGTAATCATAGCCCTGCTGTTGATGAAAGCCTTTGGCAACAAGCCTGGCTTTGTATTTGTTAACTGTTCCGTCAGAATTTTCCTTGATGCGAAAGACCCATTTACACCCAATAGCCTTCCTGCCATGTGGTAAAGGAACAAGAGACCATGTGTGGTTAGATTGCAAAGCATCATATTCTAATTGCATTGCCTTAAACCAGCGAGGACTAGTCAAGGCTCCCTTAACTGATGTGGGTTCTGAATGAGTGAGGAGAACAAGATTTCTGGTTGCAGCCTTAGAGCGTGTGATAATAGAGTGTGTTGGAGAGGGAGGGTGCAGAGGACCTGATGGGACATACTCAGAAGAACATAATTCAGGACCAGAACTAGAGCTGGTGTTTTGACTGGAAACATTAGGAGTGTGAACAGAAGGTGATGGGGAAGAAGGTAAATGTGTGGCTGAATTCGAGAAATGCCCAGACTGGTGTGTAGTGTTTGCTGACAGAGAAATGTTGGAGGAGTCAGAAGAAGGATCACTGTGAGGAACAGATGTTGATGAGGAATTAATAGATGATGCTGAATTAGTGGTGAGGCTGGTTGGACAAGTTTGTGGAAGGAAAATAGTTAGAGGAACAGAAGTAGAAGTAGAGGTAGACGGGTGCAAAACAAAAGAAGTTTTGTTAGTATGCCATTCTGTGTAAGGAAACTTGTATTCATTGAATAGGACATCTTTAGATATAAATATTCTGTTTTCTGGACTCAAGCAAATATAGCCTTTATGATTGATAGAGTAACCAAGAAAAATGCACTCTTGAGATCTAAACTCAAGCTTATGTTTGTTGTAAGGTCTTAGAAAAGGGAAACAAGCACAGCCAAAGGTTCTAAGAAAGCTGTAATCAGGTTGTTGATGGTGCAACTTAATGTGAGGGATTTCAAATTTGATAGCAGAGGAAGGAAGTCTGTTTATAAGGTAAGTAGCTGTGGTAAAGGCATAGTCCCAGTATTGCATTGGAAGAGATGAATGAGCTAAGAGGGGTAGACCAGTCTCTACAATATGTCTGTGTTTTCTTTCAACAACACCATTTTGGTGAGAAGTATGTGGGCAAGTGATTCGATGAGCTATTCCTTGCAAGTTAAGATATTGAGTAAAGGCTCTAAACTCCCCTCCCCAATCTGTTTGTAAAGCTTTTAGAGGGAGTTGGAACTGATTGGTCACCATGGCATGAAATTGTTTGAAAATGCTTATTGCATCTGATTTTTGCTTTATTGGATAAAGCCATGTGTACCTAGTGCAGGCATCAACGAATGAGATATAATAAGCATTGCCTAGAGTGGATTTAAGAGGTGATGGTCCCCACAAGTCACTGAAAACAAGAGTGAATGGCTCTTTGTATTCTCTATGAGATGGTAAAGAATGTTGTCTATGAGACTTTGCACAACAACAAGAAGGACAGAATTCAGCCAATTTATTATTGATGTGTATATTACAAGATTTGAGTACACTTTTAAGGGAATTAAAGTGGGGATGTCCCAGCCTATAATGCCATAAGGAATACAAAGAGCTAGAAGGGCTACATATATCAGAAACAGTTCTAGAACAATGACTATGTGTTTTGCTATTTGGACTAACAGCATTAACAACATTAACAGACTTGTTGATAGTCGAGGACACAGGAGAGCTAGCACAGATGTTACTGGTTGCAGAAGTATGACTTTTGGAGAGCTTCAACTTTGGAAAATAGTACAACCCATCAGAACCCACTGCACCTTGAAGGAGGACTTTATGTGAAACCTGGCATTTTACAAAACACACATCAGAATGAAACTCAAAGAAAACTGAGTTGTCTTTAGCAAATTTGCTAACACTGATAAGATTTTTAGTAATGGAGGGAACCAAAAGTAAATTCTGAAGGTGCAGGTGAGTGTTAGAGTCAAAAGGAGATTGAAAAGAGGAGGAACCAGTAGCTGTTATAGGAAGACCTTGTCCATTTCCAATCAGAACATGATCAGTACCACTAAGTTGCTGGCCTTGCATAATATTTTGAGATGTACCAGTTACATGACTTGATGCACCAGAATCTGGTAACCATTCAACCAGAGGGGGAGAACTACATGTGGAAGGTAGACTAGAAGGAGCAGCAAAGTATGCTTGAGGCTGAGACTGACTTGTTGGTCTTGTATACTGGAAAGATCTCATTGGTTGAGATTGCTGGTGTTGATACTGGAAGGACCTCACTGGTTGAGGTGGTTGATGAACAAAGTAGTGAGGATAAGGAGTGTTTTGTGGTGGAGGTAGATTCGGAACAAAATTCTCTTCAAATCGATGCCAACAATCTCTAACATCATGTCCAAATTTATAGCAAAGTTGACAGTGGACATGTGTTCTGGTGCCTCGTCCTCTTCCACGACCAGACCTTCCACCTGAACGTCCTCGTCCTCTATTCTGACCACTTGAGGTGTGGAACTGACTGAAGTTTTGATGCTCTGTTCGACTCTGTTTTCTGGTTTCAGAAACAGAGTCTTCTTCTTCATTTATAACTTCTCGATCTGAGCTTGGAAGACGCTGAGTGAGATTTATAGTTGCTCCTTCAGTCAACAGAGTATCGTTTTGCTTGATTAACAATTGTTCATGAGCTAGTAACTCCACTGTTAGATCTGCAATAGTGCAGTCTCGTTCTCGTCCGTGTATCATCATAACGAAAGAAGTATACTCTGATGGTAATCCTTCAAGAATAGTCTCAGTGTGCTCCTCAATAGAAATAGGCTTCCCAATCGACTTGAGCGAGTCACATAGTGTTTTGATACGTGTTAAGTATTCTTTAATAGTCTTCGAGCCTTTCTTCATAGTTTTCAACTCAGATCTGAGTTGACGAACTCGAGACTTCATGACTCCATGAAAAAGTTTGTGAATATTGTCCCAGGCCTCAAAGGAGTGCTTCACAGGTAGAATATCATTTACAATAGACTCAGAAATAGTGGATAGGAGCCATGTAAGTAGCATCTGATCTTGATTGAACCAATCGACATAAGCGGAGTTCATAATATCATTCTCTCTGTCTTCGTCTGAAACAAACTTGAGAGGAATTTTTGGATTAACAAGAAAACGATGCAATTGGTGTGAAGTAATTACCGGTTCAATGATCTGATTCCAGAAAAGGTAATTATCTTCGGTAAGTTTTGCAGAAATTTGAAGATTGAAGAGAGAAGTTGTCTTGATTTTCATTGAAGTGGACTTTTGTTGAGATCTGGATCTATGTTGAGATCTGGATCTAGGTTGTGATGCGTTCGAGTTGTCAGAAGCGTTCGAATCAGAGTCGGAAGCGGAAGACATGATAGAGATCTAAACGGATCAGGCCCTCAGAGAGAGCTCTGATACCATATTAGAAGAGATCCATTAAAGGAAAGCTTAAGAAAATGAGAGAAAGCGAGAGAAAAGGTTGAGAGAGAAAGAGATGAAGAGAAAGCATTATTCTATTGAATCTGAACCAAATGAATCATTATTACAGAGAGAGAAATGAAGCTAACATTTATATACTAAATGGCTAACAGCTGTAACAGTGGCTAACAGCTGTAACAGCTTATGGTTGACAGCTGTAACAACTTATACAAATAAGTAGCTGTGACTAAAGTAAAGAGTTCTACTGTATATACACTAATATTGCAAAATTAAATAGTTTGAAAATCTAATCTATTCTAGATTAACTGCAGTACCTAAAATCACAGCTTTCTCTACTGATAATATGTTAGGAAACCATCTATAACTCAGGTTTATCATAGGAGGCGCAACAGGGAATCACACCCTGCCCAGATGCATGAGTGGGAAATTACTGCGCCTAGGCATGTGTCTGCTATTTGTAGAACACAAAATGAAAAGGGTATGCACTGAGAGGAAGAAGGTGAAATGGTTATGTCCTTCTAACATTGCAAATAACAATTTAATTTTTTCAGCAAAACATGTAAAGAACTTGACCATATTCTCAAAATTCAAAAGAACAAGTAAAAAAATAATGAATACTCACCTTTACCAATAATGAGACCAAGCTGCTTCCAGGTAAGTGTATAAAAAGGTTCTGTCTTGGTGAAATTGAGTACGAGGGCAACTGGAAGAAAAATTAAAACATTGAAAAGCCCCAGATATCCAAGAAACTGAGCCATACTGGCTTCACCACTCTTTCCATCATCATCAGACAATTTCTTGCGAATAAGGGTAATATAAACCGCATATAATCCTGCCGAAACAAGTGCGAAGATGTCTCCAAGAAGAGGATTTGATGCAACTGTTCTTAAATTAGTTTGTGAATCACCAAGACTTACAATTATCGTTCCTCCCATACAAAGTAAAACACTGAACAGCTTTAACCAAGTAAACCTCTCACCCAAGAAAGCTAGGGAGACCAAGAAGGTAAAAAGACTGGATGCACTGCTTAAGATTGTATTTGACTGCATATGATATAAAAAAAGGAACCAATTTAAGCCAAATAATGAGGTGAAACAGAACTTAAAGGCCAGGAGTTAAAGTCCAAATTTACTTACTGTGACAGTAGTATACTTCAATGACAAGTTAAAAGTGAGTTGAGCAAAAAACCAAAACGGACATATCAATAGACTAACTTTGGCCACTCTCCATCGGGTCCAACGTCCTTTATCATCCAGCTTATTATCAACATCTTCAATCACATTAACTTGATCAACCAACTCCCCTACCACATTGTCTGATGGCACCAATTCAGAACCATTGTTCTTTTGTTGACTGACACCAACCTCTTGAATAACCAATGATGCACTGGCTTCATTGCTTGAATTATTATCTTGGAGAAGGATATCCTGCTCTGACTCCCCTACCTGCCCTTCCAAATGAGGGTTACTCTTCTCACTCCTCCAAAACCATAAACCCCCATAAGAATCTTCCAAATACCTCCCAATTTCAACAATTGGAATCAACACCACAAACAGTGAATTGCATATGTAAGTAATAAGGAATGGTGAAACACCACCATCTACAACAGACTGCACTACAAAGCTAGCAGCTATCCATATTGTTGCCACAGCAATTATATACACCAAACCCAGAGCCCATTTCCATGCTTTACTATTCACATCTTTTGAAACCATATCTATATTATCACCCAAATCCTTCACAGAATTCCAGAGACTAACAGTGGAACTCCAAATCTAGAATACCCAGAGAGCAAAACCCTTTTTAATTGAAAAATTATCAATACCCATTTTGCAATTCTATCAAAATATCACCTAAAAGCAACAAAAAAGCCAAAAGATGGATCAAAGACTCAGATTTTAATTAAAAAATTGAAGCAATATTTGGAAGGAGAAAGATCATAATTTGACACAAGCCATTAGCACATTAGGATTTACCTGTATGAGAATCCATGATGATTAATCGAAAGAAGAAAGGCCCAAGTTTCGCATTGATAGATTTGCCGTTTTCTGTGTGAAGCAATCGCTGTTGGTCATTGAAGTTGAATCCACGCGGAAACCCGAATATGGAAGCAGTTAGCTGAAATAAATTGATAAGAAGCAAAAACAAAAACAGAAAGAAAAAAAACTATAAAAAGCTTTAGGCTACTATATAGGATATTTCGAAGTTGTTAAAATTAAGTGGAAATATTGTAGTTATATATTTCAACAAATTATACTATTTTTAATTGTAGATAAAATCTCAAAAAAGAAAATTGATAGATTAAGGGATATTATAACTTGCTAAAAAGATTGGAAAATTTTAATTAAATGTTTAAGTAATTTAATCTGTGGTTACTAGTGACTAAGGAGTATGCTCAGAAAAAAAAAAAAGTAGTGACTAAGGAGTTGATAATTTTAAAAAAAATAAAAAATAATTTAAGTTTATTCTATCCTAGATTCCGCGACTAATTCCTTTAATTGAAAATCCTTGGATTTTATTTTTGTGGACTCAAGATTATAATAAGTAAATTATTATTTTAAACTCTACTATTATTTTTTTTATTTAAATTGTTTTGCTATACTAGGGCGTGTTAAGAAGTTATAAGGTTATATATTCAATTATTTATATTGTTAAATGGATAAATTAACATGAACAATAAATGCTTGATTTAAATTGTTCTATGATATTTTACTTAATTTGACTTAATTTTAATGATATTGAGAAATGTTATGAAAAGATATTATAAATTTTATGTTTCAATAGTTGATTCATCAAAAAGCATTGCAATACAATTGGAATAATTTCCAAGAAATTATGGATAGAATTTCAAACGATATGTAGTATACTTATTTCTAGAGGTATCTGAGATAAATTTACGTCTTACTATCCAAAAACTATGTCATATTGGTTAAGATACAAAAATTATAACAATAAAAATTAATATAGCACTAGAATAAATTAGAATTATAAAAATATATTTCTCCCAATCATAAAATAACATTTTTTGGGATCACAAATAAATTATCTCTAATTATTGAAGAAACATTAGACCTGTTATTATGATTCTTAATGCCAACATAAATATACATGTTAAGGTCAATGTTTTTTAATTTATTTATTTTTTGGATAAACCATAGATATCTTCTACTCGAGACAATTCTTCTTGGGGTGGGTCCAGGATTAAGGTTTTAACCTCCTTTCAAAGATGATATTAGAGAGATCGAACATATATTCTCATCTCCACCTGTTCAGCTCCCATGTTCCAATTAAACTAATATCATTTGATAGGTTTATATTTTTTAATGGATTTGGAAAAATGGATTATATGTTTCACTGCAACAAAATTGCGGCTTTATGGGGTTTGATAGCGTGGATTGACAAAACCATCCCCAAGTGATTTACTGAAAGTATGAAAACATCCTTTAGAAATCTAATTTCATCTGTCATCAAAAACATTGGTCTTAGTCTTATTCATAACGCATATGTAGAAATCTCTCAGTGCTGGAATCCGCATCCTAGAGGTAAATAAATGACTCAAATTTCATCTTTTCCTATATAGTCCAGTATATTCCAAATCTCTAGTACGAACTTTAACTTTTTTTTTTTTTAAGATATTCAAATCGGTTCATTACTTCATGACAAGTCCGAATCGGGATGAGCCCTAGGGTTAAGACTTTAAACCCCTTCTAAATACCGTATTGGAAAGAATCGAACATATACTTTCATCTTTATCTGCTCAGTTTTCTGACACAAATTAAATTATCATCGTTTAGTTATTCATAACGCATATGTAGAAATCTCTCGTTGCTGGAATCCGCATCCTAGAGGTAAATAAATGATTCGAATTTCATCTTTTCCTATATAGTCCAGTATATCCCAAATCTCTAGTACGAACTTTAACTTTTTTTTTTTTTAAGATATTCAAATCGGTTCATTACTTCACGACAAGTCCGAATCGGGATGAGCCCTAGGGTTAAGACTTTAAACCCCTTCTAAATACCGTATTGGAAAGAATCGAATATATACTTTCATCTCTATCTGCTTATTTTTCTGACACAAATTAAATTATCATCGTTTAATTAGTAGTAACTCTAACTCTGACCCTAACTATATGCTTTATCAATTTCATCTTTCCAAAGCATTTCTCTCATATTCGTTCAGTTTTTTTTTTTTAATCCACACTTCTTAATCCGCTTGATTAGATCCATTCTCTCAAAATTGAATAGTCACAAACTCAAATCACACTAAGGTATTTGTAGCTAGTGTGTGGAATCACAGAGAAAAAAACTTGTGGCAGATGAAAAAAGAAAAGAAAAACAAAGGTAAAGACTTCAAAGGTAGCGTGACATAGAGAAAGAGACTTGTGGCAGATGAAAAAAGAAAGAAAAACAAAGGTAAAGACTTCAAAGGTAGCGTGACATATTTTGTACTCGGTAGCTTTCTAGCTTCAATTGTTAGCGGTGTCTTAGTGAGTTTTTATTTCTATTCCCCCCCCCCCCCCCAAATTTTGAATTGTTATTTTTACACTCACTACCAGGGGCGGACTCAGGGGATGCTAGGGTGGGCGACCGTCTCCCCTCAAAATTTGAAGAAATTTTTTAACATAAGTATAATGTAAGAAATCTTCATTTTTTCTCTCCATTAATGTGAAGTAGTTTTCTCCCTCCAAGAGTTTATAGAGCTTCTTTATATTCTCAAGTCATATATCTATTGAAACCCCTCTAACTCTGATTGTATTTTTTCTCCCTCCAAGAAAGTTAACGAAATGAACAAAACAAAAAAAGAATGAGAAAGAGTGCACTACCATGATTAGATCTTGTCGAATTGAAAAGTAAGCTCAGAGTTTAGTTTGGGGGTTTTAGAGAGTTAAGAAATAGAGAAAAAAAAGTCATGATTATCAAATCCAGGATTTAATGCTTTCTTGTCTTTTTTTGCTTTAACAAAAAATAGGTTTATTTAAGATTACATCACAGTGTTGGGAGTATCAGTGACCACCAATAGAGCTACATGGTTTCTCTTAGTGCCTGTTTGGATCTTCTCTTTTTTTAAGCTAGAAGTTCTTTATAAGCATAAGCTAGGCCAATCAGGCTTTGAGAAAAGCTCTTATAACGAAAAGCTCTTTTTTTAATAATGAAGAAAAAAGCTGAAAACTAAAAGCTCATAAGAGAAGCTTTTTTTTAAGCTCTTATCTGTTTTTCTTGAATTGTGTGTTTTTTTTAAATGAAGAGTGATAAAGATAAAGAGAGATAATTTTCTTGAAATATGTGCTTTTAAGTAATTTTTAAGCTAAATTTTTTATGTAATTTTCAAACAGCTTTTAGCTTCTTTTTTTAAGCTCTCTTTTTTAGCTTTAGCTTATAAGTAGTTTCTAGCTTAAAAATAAGAGGATCCAAACAGGCTCTTAGTTCGAATTCTTTTAGCTACGTGGTGCTTGTTTGTTGGCACAGACCTGCTGGTAACAATTAGCATAAGGAATTAGCATTAAATTATAGGAAAAGATCTGTTTACAATTTTTTTTTACAAATTACACTAAGTATTACACTCTTGATTAAAGTATGACGGTCAGACACAATATAGTTTATAAGAGTTTCTAAATAAAAAGTTTGTAAATATAATATTCCCCTTAAATTGTAGTTTAAACCTCCCCTTAAATTATAGTTTAAACCTCGACTTGAAACTTACAGTTTCAACTTTTATTATGCTTAGATGTTAGCACAAATCTTCCAATCCATGAATAAAGATAAGAAGTCTGAGAGTCTTATGAAAGAATGAACCTTATTCTTTCGACCCCTCTCCTTTTCTGATGATTCATGACAGAGAGGGAAGTAAGGGACAAAAGGGTTTTGGTGATTGTGCTTCTTGGCAATCTGTCTCTTTTGATTTATCTTTGGCTTTTTTTTCTTGTTGGGCTAACAGTGAGTAAACAGAAAAATAGGTTAAGAAATGATAGGGTTCTGCTTTGAATTATCTATTTAGATTATAGTAATTAGTACATATTTTTTGTGAAATCTAAACCCAAATTGCTCTCTTCTCTTTTTCTTTGTTTTCTTTGCATAAAAAATGTTCATTGTAGGGGTTGAAAATGTGTAGTTTTTTAAATTGATAGTAAATTTTACTGTGACATCTTCCACCTCTCTCTCTTTTTGTCTCCTTCTTTCTCTCTATAACAAGTTAAAAGAGGTATTTATGAGTTATGTTCTCTGGATTGGTGTTTCGGCCTCCCACTTATTGTGGTTGAAGAGAGGAACAAATATTTAATTTTTCGTATTTTGGTCTCTCATATATTATGTTTGAAGAGAGAAACAAATGTTTAATTTTTAGCTCCCCACAGGAAAAATTCCTGGGTCCGCCACTGCTTACTACACGTATGTTATTGTAGTGGTTTATTTTTTGGATAAACCACATGTATCCTCCAAGGATTCACATCATGGTAGGACTAGCTCTTCCAAATGAGATTTTTAACTTTCACAAGGATTGTAGTGGTTTATTAGTTATGTTTTTTTAAATTTAGATAAAAATATAAAATATAAATTAAAAGAAAAATATTGAAAATTATAAAGGAAATATGTTAATTAATTCAAACATAATTTAAAAAGTATATGTTAAAATATTTAAATTTATAAAGAAGATATGCATAATTAATTTCAAAGAACTTAAATTTAAAATTTATAAGAAAAAACAAATTAAGAATGACATGCATTGTAACGCCCCGTCTGCAGCCGGTTAATTAACATTCATATGATAGTAAACGCAACATGTTCAACTTTATTAATGTGAAAGCTAATAGAATAAATTTTCTCATTTTCCTTATGTATTGCAAACATTTTCACTTCCATGGCCAAAATAAAAGGGACAATATTTTGTCTGTATTTTGGAACACTAGGGACATTTCCTATCATGATAATTTCAACCTGATTGACAACTTAATATAATCCAGGCATAAATCATATTACCCAGTCATCCATGGCATAGGCTATCCCATACATAACAGGTCTCAAAATAATATCCATAGAGTTACTTACATGATTACATCAACCAACCAAAAGAGATGTAATCAAATTAGTAACCTAGACATATACAG